AATTATATTCGGTTGTCGACTTGCACGCCGATAAAGTATTTATGACGTAATTATAATCTTTAAAACATTTCTTATAATCTTTGAAAAAGACTTTGAGACCACTTACAATCGGTTCGATCAGTTTCGGTCATCGTGTTTATGCTATTTGGCTGTATGTGTACCGTGTTATTTAAATTATGCTGGATGATGTTGAGTTTGTGTCTTTCTTATCATCAACATGCAGGTAGCGAACATTTATGTCTTACATTTTTAATGCAAATGACGAACAGCAACTGAGGGATGAGTAGAGTACATAGAAAACTTGGTGAACATCTTTACCTGCCTTTGTTTTTACAACCACCGCAATTATTGAGATATCGACTTATAATTTTTTCTCGTGACTTGTAAGATAAAGAGAAGTAGATTGTGAATAACTTTCATTGGTCGACTACAACCGAAGTGGGGGTTACTCGAATGCTGAATTAGATTCTAGCATTTTGATTCTAACGCTTGAATTTTACAGTTTCACTGAAGCCTCTCGACCGATCATATCCAGAAGAGAAGTCACGCTAAGACTATTGAACTATACTGTAATTGGAAGTTTCTTTTGCCTGTGAAGTATACGAACGTTTTGTTAGTATAGCAGTTTTAGCGGAAAAATTTTAAGCTGTGCAGTTGTTACCGATTGTTTAGACTAACAATAAGTTGCCACGTTATCAAATTGATATTTTGTTCTGATTATGTGCTTACTTATAATGTAGACAGAGCAAAAAAATGGAGTTAGTGATAAACTATGTTGGTGATTGTGCCGTAAAACAGATTTATTCGGAAATCAGTGAATAACGAAACAAAATCGGCGAATACCATATGTCGCTCCGTGGAGTTCGGTCTTCGCTTGATTGATCGGGTACGTCGTGTGCAATTTTACGCCGAGTCTGCTGCATACTTTCGATGGCAGTATTTCAGACCTTTCAATATCGGTGCTTGATCATGCACTTTAGCGAGAGTAATATTTTTCTCCTCATATGGATGAGCGCAACTGTGACTTGTAGCCTTCTGTTTGTCAAACTGATTATTATGGTATTCAACGTTTGATAAGGTTCCTCATCACGATGTACGTTGAATACAAAATCAATTACAGGCACAAACTGCACATCCCAGAGCCTATATTACGGATCTCAAGCAAATACATAATTGCGAGAAAGAAAACTTTTGATTACGTACATTTGCAAATCTGCATTGACTCATATATCTCCGGCAATATTTCGCGAATTTCTGCCTATCCTATTGTTGGTCAATATTTCTCTGAAATAACTCATTATAGTCTGCTGGACGATATCATAGCACACGTGATCAAGGATTGGAAGGAGCGCGATTTTTTGGACGAGTCCACGACGAATAGAATGGCTTACGTCTCTCGCTGGTTCTCCAATTTGATAATCGGTACGCGTCACGCAATGTTGATATGCTTCTATGCAGTCGACACTTTGTTGAGGCACAAAAGCAGCAATCAAACTGCTCGAGAGCTTGTTCTCAAGATGGAGTTATCTTTCAAGATCGAAAGCACACCAGTATATTTTACCGTTCTCGTTATGCAATTCGTTCATCAGATAAGCGCGGCCAGTACGGTGGCCGTGTTAAAATTGCTTGCTGTTGACACTGGTAAGTGACTTCTCGTGATTTTTCTAAAAATTCCAAAAAATAATAATTACAATATAATGCCAGGAAACATGATTTAAATATCTAAATTGTTCTAAAAGTATGTTATTAAATAAATGTATTATTATATAAAATATATATGTATTCTTAAATAAAAAATTCATTAAAAACAAATAGATATACATTTAATTGTTAATAAATTGTAGTATTTACTTTATTTTCTAGATTATTAAAAAGAAGATACACATGAGTGAAAATAAATATACAATTATTATTAATTGATATCTAAATATATTAAATTTGTATTATTTAACTTTTTAGAGACTTAAGCTCTCAAAAGAACAAGGAATTGGAGTCATTAATATTAAAATATAGAAAGAAAGAAAGATGACAAACGTAAAAAATGTTTTTATTATACAAAATGTTAAATTAATGTATCATAATATTTAGGTTCTTTATGTGTGTGGGCAGATTGATATAATACGGCGGAAACTAAAAGAAATAGTGCGGATAGAAGCACCGAGCGAGATGCGAACGAAAGTATTGCAAAAACGCTGGCTGCTCGGCAGCAGAGGATTATTTCCTTTTCCGAGAATATTGAGACCCTCTTTTCAAATATAGCGTTAATACAATTCGCGACAAACACTTACGTCCTCTGTTCTGTCCTTAGGATTTGTCATTGTGACCGTATAAGTACACGTGAGGTGGCGTAACTTTTGTTCGACGCGTAAGGTATTTAAAATTTTTAGTCTATCGATGTGCCGGGCGGAACGCCTTTGATAGTATAAAGTCTACACGTACATTTTTTTACATTCTAGTCAATGTGGAGGCATTTATATTTTGCTTTCTTGGAGAACATCTTAGTACGAAAGTCAGTATGTAATATGATACGTATATTGGATTTATAATATAAACCGTTTTTTTGACGAAATCTTGATCTTAGAGTAAAATGATCGGCGACGCGACGTACGAAGTGCTTTGATACAAATTGAACCCGATTCAGAATCGAGATATTCTCTTTATAATCGTAAGGTCATAGAATTAGTATTTGAAATTCACTATCGGAAGGGTCGCTGATCTTTCGCTGATGCAATTTGCCAACGTAAGGATTTCGTAAAGTAATTAAAGCAGAGGCGTACCTCCGTTGCGTAGAACTTTATGCTTTGATTGATGTTTTGACATGACCGAATGACGATCTCTAGTCGCTTCATCGCGATATAAGCGTTCGCGTACGATGACCGTAATTGCTTCTATCATGTTGTAGATCATGAAAGCCTCTGTGTCATACATGTCGGCGCGTTACACGCGACGTATTGAAGCTTAAACATACTTTATGCCCGGCTTATATCTTCGCGTGCAGAAGGATATAGTACTTTTACTACCGCCAGCCGGTTACGTGATTAGCAACTTTCCTATTCAGAGACTCGATGGGGTTTCACATCAGATGTATAAGAATAGACGACTAGGAGTATGGTGTATTAAAGAGTTGATATGTGATGGATAACGTGAAATTGATCTACTTAGTTGATGTACTTTTTCGAAACTATAGTACCAATAAAATAAAAGCATTCAATCAAATATTTAATTTTATTATTTGGTATTATTTTATAAATTATAATGGTAAAAATTAAGCTTAGTAGAGTCATTGGACTCTACTGGTAGAAATACGTGGATGCGTGTATGTATGCACGTGCGCATGTTTAAAATAATTAAATATGTATTTAAATTTTTCATATGCATAAGTGTTTATGTAAAAAATATGGCTAAATTGTTTTTATGTTTTGCTTCTTTTATTTTATATATATATATCATATAATCAAATTAATTGCAAAGCGAAATAATAATTAATTTATTATTTAAATATGTATACAAATTGATCGTACTTTTGTTATATTATATATATCTTTTCGCGCATTATAAAATAAGTATAATTATATTTTATTTTAATATTAGTGATATTATTTCACGGCATACCGGGATTGATTCTAGTAGGACGATTCTAGTAGACTTTCCAACGTCTTCGAATAAAAGAGAGCTCATTTCAAAATCAGTCTTTACATTTATAATGTCTAGTGTACATGTTTCAATTGTACTGAATCGTGATATTGAGTTGCACGAGACTGAAATTTGTTAGTATCGATACACGATGAACGTTTGCCTTGCATTTTTAATGCAAATAACGGGCAACGGCCGATCGATACATACACGAAGGGCGTACAGAAGTTCTACATGGCTATCTCTGCCTGTTCATTTTTTTTTTGTAACTGTGGTAATCATCGAAATGTCAGATTATTTACTCGCAGTTTCTAAGACAAGAGAAAAAAATACGATGAAAATACAAGAAAGGAAGAAAGTATATTTTCTATTGATTTACACCTGAGGTGGGGGGTCACTGAGCATTGAATCCGTATAGAATTTTACAGTCTTGCTCAGACCTCTCGACCGATCACATATCCACTGATGATTGTTAACTGAGTTGAAATTATCAGTCATGCTGCGGTTGAAAATTTCAGCGCTTACTTTCTAACCAATGACATTATAAAGTATAAAGTCGAGGCAATTGCGTTAGAATTTTGATGCTATTTAAGCTGTGTACATCCATTTCTTTTTTTGTATTAAATAATCCATTAAGCAAACCGATGTCTCTTCTCGGATAATAATCTCCGAGTTAATTTACAATATTAAAGTGTTATATCACGTTGGTGCTGCCATACCGTGATTTGCTCGGGCTCAATGAATAACGGTACAGAGTCGGTGAATATCGTGTGTCGTCCTATCAGATTCGGACTTCGCATGATTGGCGTATGGCCGGGCACGTCGTATGCTATCTTGCGCAGAGAGTTCTGCATATCGTCAATGGCGGTGTTTCAGACCTTTCAATATCAACACTTGATCATGCATTTCGGCGAGGAGGACCTCTTCGCCCTCATGGACATGTTAAGCGCAACTCTGGCTTACAGTCTTCTGCTGATCAAATTGTTTATTTTTGCGTTCAACGCACGGTAAGCGTCTTCGTCGCGATACTGAGTCATAAATACGATTCGCAAAATAAATATATATACCTCGGATTATCCATTCCAAATTCTAGGCTGTAAAACAACCTAAAAGAATCTTGAATTTATATCACAATTTTGCCATTAATTCATAACCGTCTGACAATATCTCGCGAAATAAAGAAGTGCCTTCGCGTTTTTGCGCGACTCGGTCAATATTTCTTTATAGTCTTTTCGTTATAGTTTGCTGAACAAAATGATAGCGCGCTTGGTTGAGGATTGGAAGGAGCGCGATGTTTGCGACGAGTACACGATGACTAGGATGGCGTACATCTCTCGTCGGTTCTCCAACTTTATAATTGCCTTGTACGCGCTTTCGGTGTTCCTTTACGCAACCGGTACTTTGCTGAGGTACAGAAGTAGCAATGAGACAGACACCCGAGAGCTCCTCCTTAAGATGGAATTGCCTTTCGAGATCAAGAGCACGTGGGTACACATAGCTGTCTTTGCTACGCAGTATGTTCATCAGACAAGCGCAGCCAGTATGGTGGGCGTGATGAATTCCTTGCTGATAACACTGGTAAGTTTGAGTTTAATTTTCCCATAAATTGTCAATTGTTTCTGAAAATCATAAAGAAGAATAATTACGTGACATGCAGAGATGAGGAAAAAATGTTTAGAATTCTATTCATTTAAGAGATAGCAAATGATATAACAAATTTAATAATAATAATTTACATTTCTTTTATATTTAAAAAATAAAGTTGTGTTACTTATTAAAGCGGAAAAAAATGCACTACTGTTCTTGTTGAGCGAAACATTAAATTGAACTGAATGCATATCGTGATGACGTTTAGGTTCTTCATGTCTGCGGACAGATTGACATTGTGCGGCAAAAATTGAGTGAAATCACGCGAAAGGACGTCAAGCAAGGTGTGAACGACAGCATCGTGAAAATGTTGATAATTCGGCATCAAAGAATTATCTCTTTCTCTAAGAATATCGAGGCCTTCTTCTCTAATATCGCGCTAATACAATTTGTATCAAATACCATGGTTATCTGTTGTCTAGGATTTCTTATCGTAATTGTAAGTATAAAATATAACGTGAAATAACATAACTAAGAAATGTAAGATATTAAAAATTTTTTTAGTCCATTGGTGTCCCAGGTGGAACGTCTATGCTAATAAAGTCCGTGTTCTTTTATATTGTTATAAGCATGGAGGCATTTATATTTTGTTTCCTTGGGGAGCATCTCAGTATGAAAGTCAGTATTTTATGTAAAGCATATAGGGAATACACTGTTATATCTATATAGTGTCAAATTTAATCTTATTTAAGTCGCCACTGCTCTTACTTAATAAATAGTTATTTTTAACTAAAACAATGAAGTTACACAATTCAAATTTAATTTACCCAATTAATTAACCTAAATTTGGATTAAATTTCATTGTTTTATTTAAAAATAAAAAATAGAAAATAACTATATAGATTAATTAGGAGCAATGGCGACTTAAATAAGATCAAATTTGACACTACAGATTTAACAGCGTGTAACACATTAAGATTTATTGTATTATATTTCAGAGTCAAAAAATTGGCGACGCGGTTTATGAATCACTTTGGTACGAGCTGAACCCGAATCAGAATCGTGACGTCATGATCATGATCATAAGATCGCAGAAACACTTGACGCTCACGGTCGGAAAGGTCATGGATCTTTCCCTCAAGCAATTCGCCAGCGTAAGAAATTTGTGATGTAATAAAAGTGATTAAGAAAAGCTATATTTATCATAGGAGAGCTGTTAACGTGAATGATGTTTTGACAGTTTAGCGACGTTCTTTAGCCGTTTACTCGTCGCGGCACAATGTGTTCGCGTATGATGGCAGTAATTGCTTCTATCACGTTGCAGATCGTGAAAGCTTCGGCGTCATACGTGTCGGTGTTACACGCGATGTATTGAAGCCTTAACGCGCTGCACGCCCCTCATATCTTCGCGTGCAGAAGGATATAGTACTTTTACTACCGTCAGTTTACACGATTAACAATTTTCCTATTCAAAGAGGCGGGGTTTCACATCAAGTGTGCGCCGTGTAGACAAACGGGGGATACCGAAGCATCGATTTACCAGAGGCATCCGTTCGCGACGGCTTTATTTAGCCTGTCGCGTATAAAGGCAGAGCTATAAATACATTGTTGATATTTTAGATCGATGTACTTTATCTGATAATAAAATGACGATCAAAATAAACGCGATTCGATTAAAAAGATGGTTAATTTAATCAACTACGTTTTTATATTAAAATCGAAAATTTGGCTTTGAAGATTCTTCGGATAATTGAACGCACGTGTATGAAATTAAACTTATTCTGTTAAAGGTGCAGTATAGAATTAATATATCCGATAGTAATATACCGTTATGAAGTACTCATCTTGTGCAAGAAGAAAAAAAATCTCTCGATGAATTGCATCTTTCTTCGCCTGTTCTCTGTACAACTATAGATTCCCGCCAGCACTGCCACTGTCCAACTATCTGAGCCTTCTCGCAAGCACCTATAGCGCCAACTGTAATCTTTACACTGATCTTCCTACCGTGACGAACTCCTGCGATACGTCTTAGCTTTCCTCCCTCACGATCCCCCACGTTACGTTTTCCTCCTCCCCCCACCAACAGCGAAACATTTCAACTTCGCGGCGAGCATGGTTCGTGGAAGCTGCACTCCACCTTTCCTTTGCCTGTTGCATTTTTAAAAAGGGGCGTACAATTGTAACAGTCGAAAGTTCGGAAAGAAGAAGATCGATCCTCCCCATTGCTCGTGTGTTCATTATTTCTAAAATTACAATTGCAGTATTTTTTTTCTTCTTTTTCTGCACAATGCAACAGAAATCTTTTATTTAAGTTGTGATTGGTCAATATGGTCGATGACACGGGTCGCGGGTCGCGTTCGGCTGTCGACCCGCGAGCAAGTTTTAGTGCGAATAAACTTCGACGACGTACCGCGGTTGAGCCACCTCCCCGTCGTCGCAGAGGGGAAACATGAGGACGACCACGCTCAGCCGACTGATCAGGTTCGGCCTCCACATTTACGGTATACAGCCGTACGTACCGTCCGCTGTGGTGTTCAGATTGTACTGGATCGTAGCGCTGAGCATAGCCCAAATCTTTCAATACCGATACGTGGTGGTGAACATTCATATGGACGACTTCTCCGAATACATGGACGGTGTCAGCAGCGCAATGACATCCTCTCTGCTCTACATTAAGCTCGTTATCCTTTGGACCCATCAACGGTAGGCCGTACTTGCGAAATAATATGCAAATCGTGTTATTATCGGCAACTGAAATTGTCAATCAAGAAAAATCAAGATCGATGATAATCAATCGGTTTCTTGATTTCGTTTTGATTGAGTCTTACGAGAGTACGTATGAACGCGTATTACTGGTTGCCTGTTCTTTCCGATATCTCGATGAAATTTATTGTCGGAATTAATTTAATTTTATGACGAAACTGAAACAGACATTTAACGCGGACGGTGCATATTCCGTAGAATATTTTTCGATGTCTCGCAAATGATGTCTGCGGATTGGCACGATTCCTCGAAACGCTCTAACTCGCGCATAATGACGGACGCGGCGAATCTTGCACGTCGCACTTCGAGATGGATCGTCGGCATGCAAATTGCCTCCGCAACTTTCTACAGTGCCGGCGTGCTCGCCGCTAATGCAAACAGTCCCGAGAAATTAGAGCCGTACGAGCGAGAGCTTATTCTGAAGATGGGATTCCCATTCAACATTAGTACTAATTTTATTTACACGGTAGTTCAAAGCGTTCAATTTTATCATCTGTTTTTAGTCGCCTGGGGCATTACGATTATCAATTCACTTCTTGTCACCCTGGTAAGTTCAAATTTGTCCGCTCAAAATTGAAGGCAAGGCAGATTCTATTCTTTTTGATCTTTTCAATTAGATTTTATGTTGGATTATAAGATCGTCAATAAATTAAATATTGTATATATTATATCTACGTTTTAATAATGTCTTAATTAACTGCTGTGCTAATAAATTATATTTTATGTTTCTCTTCGATGTCTTAATTAAAAGAATAACTTTAAAAAATAATTTTTATTTTTCTGAGAGAGAGATTATGAAGCTATAAACCTTAGATACTTCACATCTGCGGTCAAATCGACATTCTTCGAGAATGGTTGACGAAAATCTTTTCTAAAAATTCAGCGGATTTGATGGACAAAATTACAATGCGATCGTTGATTATAAAGCACCAGCGAATTATTGTATTTGCGGAAAATATCGAGACCCTCTACACGTACATCGCATTAATGATGCTTTTATCTGACACAATCATTACATGCTGCTTAGGATTTATTATCGTTAGCGTAAGTAACATTGTCAAAACTGATATTCGATTATTACTAATATTGCTTATTGATAAATATTGCTTATTGATTCGAAAAATTATTGATTATTATTAATACTGAAGACATCTGGAAGTATTGTATGTATACAATTAACTCGTACTAAATTATTATTATTAAGACATCTGGAAGTATTGTATGTATACAATTAACTCGTACTAAATTATTATTTATCTATATATGAAAATTTTTTTAAATCTATTTCACTTTACTGACAACTGTAAATTTTTGGCGCTAGTTTTTTAAATTGAAAGATTTGTACAAAGGGCGCGTGTACTTGGCGTCGTTTTTTCACTTTTGCTTAAAAAGGTAATTTTATACAATTTTAGTCACTTGGCACACCCAATGTTGTAGCGATTTTGGTGAAATCCGTAATATTCTACATCTCGATGAACGCCGAGGCATTCATATACTGCTTCTGCGGTGAATATCTGAGCGCCAAGGTCAGCGTCGAAAGAAAAATGGCAGCTTTATTAATTCACGGATATCGAGCTCAAGCGTATCTCTCATATTTTTCCTCTTTTCAGAGCAAAATGATTGGAAGCGCGGCGTACGATTCTCTATGGTACGATTTTCCAGCCAAAGAAAGTCAAACTGTACTGTTCCTCATTGCGAGATCGCAGAAAAGATTGACGATCACGAGCGGAAAAATTGTCGACCTTACACTGGAACGATTTACTAGCGTAAGATTTAACTTGTGATATTTCTTCAGCATTTGCCTATACTTTGAAGTTCGAATATTTCCAGCAGAATTTTTAAAATATCATTTTTCAAAGACTCGTATTATAATATATTAAAGCGGAAATTTGCTCTTTTGTTATATAATCATTATTGTACATTAGATAAAAACAAAATTCACTGTTGTTATCTTTTAATATTAATTATTGAAGTTATATTAACTGCAAACATTATATAGCACAATATTCACATTCCATCATATTTTATATACATATAATTTTTATTTATTATTATATTATTTAATTTTATTTCTTTTTAATTTATTTAATGTCCTGTATATTTTTAATATAGAATATAAGCAATAATATTTCAGGTATTAAAGGCATCGTTGTCGTATATATCAGTGCTAATGGCGATGTATTGAAGACAAATAGGTAATGTATTGTAACATAAAGCAATAAAGTGTGCACAAAGTAGAATTTAATAACATGAAAATAAATATATAAGATTTGTTCTAAATACTACTACTATTCCAGTTTCCTCTTGCAATTTGCATTTCCTCTCGCGCAAAAAAAAAAAATATTGCAATCGCTAATACGAGACCAAAAATTGCGAGTAAAAGTTTTTCTTATCTCGAATATTCTGCACGATACTATTAATAAGACCAAATCAACCCGAATCCTTTTTTTTTCTTAGTGCTTTTAGTTTGTTCATCTACAGCGAAAGGGCGGCACGGAAAAACTTTCGCAATTTCACTTTCTCTTGGCACTTTCAGTCCGCATCTTCAAGTCTTGAATTACTTTTCATAGCTGTCGTGCACAACTTCGCATCTAACGTTCGCGTTTCATCAAACTGTACTCTTTTTCTTCTTCCATACCTATACATAATTTTGAATTTATACATCCAGTTTGATCAGAGAGAAGTACAGATTCACAATGAAGTAACACAAAGGAGATGTTACAGTAGAATAATATTTTATGACATGATACATTTGGACAATGAAAAACGCATCACTCAAAACCGATGGAACCTTCGTGCTTCTTCGCCAGGTTTTCTGGCACGTACCGCCGTCTTCGTTGTGCTTCTTCCAATTTGCGACTACTTGCAACGCGAGCTGTAAAGCTTCGCGCAAACGCCCGTTCCGGCGATATGTTTACGTCCTCCTCCGTTAACGCATCCCCAACAGCGAAACTTTTCAAGCTCGCGCCGTGCGGCGCGGGTCGTGGAAGCTGCACTCCCCCGAGGTTGTTGCATTTTTAAAGAAGGCGCGCACGGTTGCGTTGTCCGTGGTCGGAAACTCGACTTCGCGGAGGCAGAAACGGTGCCTTCCTCAACTTTATTTTACGTACCGCGCCGCGATCGTCGGTGAGACCGTCGCACATGGTCCAAGTCCGTCCAAAGTTTGCGATACGTGGCGATAGGAATATTTAACGAGTGGTTGTCCGATTGGTCGCTTAGAGCGAGGGCTACGTTCTTCTTGAAGGCGTTCCCTCCCCAGATTTTTTAACGTGCAAAAAACGCCAGTGGCGTACGTACACCTCAAACGATCCGGTCCGTTTCCTGTCCTGAAACATGGAGATGAGTACGGTCAGTCGCGTGGTAAAGCTTAGTCTTCGCGCCTGCGGTATCTGGCCGTATCTACCGTCAACGATTTTATTTCGATTATTTTGGATTGCGATGCTGGGCACAGCTCAGTTTTTTCAATACCAGTACATAGCGATACATTTTTACACCGACAATTTCTCCGACTTCATGGACGGTGTAAGCAGTGCCATGGCATACAGTTTACTGTTCATCAAATTCAGTATTTTGTGGGCAAATCAACGGTAAGATAAACATCGTATAAATTTCGCTGCAATTTCGTATTATAACTATAGGCTGTAAAATAAAATATTATATTTGTTAATTGTGTGAGTGATTAAAAAGATCACAGGATTACGCATAGGTGCTATGAGACTCTATTTTAAGCTGTCAAATCCACTATTTTATACCTAATACATGTGTGACTTGGCACATAAGGAACATTGCTCTAGAATTTTTATATTTCACTTACTGTTAATTTAATTTGTTAATAATATTTACTTATTTGATAGATGTAGGATAGTGACATTAAATACGTAATTGCACTGCAAATCCAGCTGTGTGCACTGTAGTCACTTTTTACGCATTTATACGCGTATTTATATACTGCTATATTTTTACACATTTTATCTGTGTTTTATAACACAATTAAATGCATATTTTTTACACGTTTACACATATTATTGTAAAATTAAGCATGTAAAAAATATGCATTTAACTATGTAAAACACAGATAAAATGTGTAAAAATACAGCACGCGTATAAATGCGTAACAAGTGACTACTTTACACACTTGGATTTGCAGTGTGTATATTTGATTTCTCTTAGAACATTTTCTGACATATTGCGAATGATGGCCATGGACTGGAAGAACTGCGTTTTGACTGATCACAGTCTACGCATCACGACCGACAGAGCCAAACTCTCGCACCGCTTCTCAAACTGGATTATCGGTCTCCAACTGACTGCCATAGTTGTGTACAGCTGCGGCGTGCTCGCTATTAACGCCGGTGACGTCCAGAGGATGAACGTGTCCGCGCGGGAGCACATCTTGAAGATGAAGCTGCCATTCCAGATTGACACGTCTCCCATCTACATGCTCGTTACGATCTTCGAGTTTCTTCATCTGGCGATGTGCGGCTGTGGAATTTCCACGGTAAATTCGCTCATCGTCACCTTGGTGAGTTCGTGACGTCACTTAACGACACGGAATTATGCGATCGCGATTTCAAGACGTGTTAAGACGTATTCTAGATACTGCACATCGGTGGTCAAATCGATATTCTTCGCGATTGGCTACTGAAAGCATTTTCCAAAAATATGATGCACACCGTGGATCGAATAACGATGAAGGCATTGATAATAAAGCACCAACAGATAATCATGTTTTCGGAGAACGTCGAGAACCTTTATACGTACATCGCGCTGATGCTGTTCGTGTCGGACACGCTCATTATATGCTGTATAGGATTCATTATCGTTACCGTGAGTAACATCGGTGGAAAGTCACTTTATGGGTCGCAAATTTAGTTAACAAACATTGATATTTTCAAATAATTATGTATATCGAACTGCTCCAATTCATTGTGTATATGTATTCTTTGACGTTATATGTAGAAGAAGATAGATCGTTCCTAAATTATTACGTTCGATGTTACAGTCAATCGGTACACCTGACGGACCAGCAATTTTGATAAGGTCCGTATTATTTTACATTGTGATGAACCTCGAGGCATTTATATATTGTTTCGCCGGTGAATACTTGAACGCCAAGGTTAGCGCCGAGAATCGTGTAACGATCGAGTTCAATCACATGAAAATCCAAAATCTATCTTTTGCTTCTAGAGCAAAACAATCGGAGATGCGGCATATGATTCTCTCTGGTACGACGACACAACAGAAAAGAGCCGACTTATGCTGCTCATAATCTTAAGATCGCAAAAACGATTGACCATCACAATCGGAAAAATTATGGATCTCTCTTTGGAACGATTTACTAGCGTAAGATTTTTACGATATAAATTTGGAAGACTTTTTAACACTCAAATCTTACATGTTCAAAAGTAATATTAAAAAATTTTTAAATTAACATTGAAGCGGATATATATTTTATGGAATAATTAAAGATATATTAGAAAAAAAGGGAATTTAATTTTTAAAGTTAATGTTGTTTAATCGATTAATTATTATTAATATTTAATATCATGCATTTATAATACATCACCATCGATTAATATTGTAGGTAGTGAAGGCATCCGCATCATATATTTCGGTCCTATTAGCGATGTACTGAATATTAAACTCAATCTCAATAGTCATATAATAATGCCATGATAGTATTTGCCAGTAGCATGAAATAATAGTATAAAATCATAAAATGAGCAATAAAAAGATCTCAACAATAACAGTATTAAATAAATTATTATTGTAATTTCATATGGTACTTTAAATAATATTGTATTTATTTCTAATATAATTAAATAGCAATTTGTTTTTTCTTCCAGTGAATAAAATAAAACGTCGATAAATTTAATTACATAACAAGTGCTTCTTTTGCATAATCAGATATTACTTTAAATTTTCGTATTATTTAAATGATATTATAATTTCTGTGAAACAGTATTTTCTGAAAGATTAACATAAGCTCTTTGCATTTTACGATGTTCTTTAGAGCTTATATTATGCTTGTTGTTTGCGAAAAACGCTGTTGCTACTGGAATATAAAACTTCACTCAGCACTTCGTTTCCTCCGCTTCTAGCTTACTTTTTCACGATTATTGCGCGCAACCTGTATCTGACGTGCACCAGAGTTTCATCCAAAATCGCACAATTTACATAATTCAGGAGAATAAGTTGTGAACGCGTGCACACTAGCCGCACTTACAGTAATGCACAAGGAAAAATATTCTTCGATATTGAAGAAATAAAATCTCGGTAATAGAAACTTTCGCCTCTTCCACCTTCCCTCTTCCTCAAAAAATTCTCCCCTATTCACGGAAATACGAAACTTTTCTTATGGTCACCTACCACATGGTTTAACGTTCTGCGTACGTCATACGTGGCTATCTATTGTTGCCTGAATTTTTAAAGAAAGCAACTCACTGCGCGGTGCACCATCGTTTCGCCCGAGGATTCGAGAGGTCGGACACCCGGAAACTTTTTTTTATCGACAACAGTACATATGGTCGGTACACGTTATCATCAAAATATTTAATAAGCCGTGGCTGACGCCGTGGGGGAGTGTTCTCCACTCACACTCTCTTCCAAGCTTTCAGTTTGCGCAGAGATACTAAACTGTGCACATCATACAATCAAGCCGGTGTTTTTTGTTACACCGTTTAACTTTCTTTTATTGTAATCGATATGTTAAAGGTGCAAAATAACAGGAAAAATAATAACTATGAAAATATAAAAGTAAAGAATACTGTTAGTCAAGTGACAGAAATTTGTCTGCGAATTTTTGGCATCTGGCCGAACACATCGTGCGTTTTGTTATGTAGACTCTTTTGGACTGTCTCGATCATGATCGAGCAAGTTTTTCAATATCGATATGTCGTAATGAATTTCCAATTGATCGAGTTTTCCGAGATGATGCACATTTTGGGTTCAGCATTGACGTACACAATATTTTTAATTAAGCTCGTAATTTTTTGGTGTAAACAGCGGTGAGATAAACAGCGGTGAAGCACGTAATCATACGCACTATCAGTGAAAAATTTCTTTTAGATAGAATTTAATTTAATTGCATGTGTAATTACATTATATTCAGCCACATTAAGTTAGTTACACTAATTTCGTATTACATCTCGATTCAACAATTATCGCTTCGCTCGGTAAAACAAATTATTTGGTAATGTGAATTGCAAATGTAACAAAGTTAAAAATTAACAAAGATAAATTAAATTGCTATAATACTTATCGTACCTAAAGAGGAAATGAGTGGACACGCATTGTTAAAGTCATTGCATAAATAATAAATTTTTCATCGATGGTTCGCATAACACTTCGTTGCGGCCGTTATCACTATTATGACTAATGAAAACCGTTCATAGAACGTTCAACAGGGTACTAACGATGATGGCGATCGACCGGGAAAAGTGGTCCAGCACGAAATTCAGTATGTTTGCGACGTGCAATGCTAAACTGTCGCAGCGCTTCGCTAACATGACGGTGATTCTTTATTCGACAACTATAATTTTTTTTAGCAGCAAGATTTTCTTAAAACAGGCGGATGACGGCAAAGCTTCCAACGTTTCTGCACCATTACTCATTCTAGAGATGGATCTGCCATTTGACGCTAACCAAAGATTCGTATATGAATTAGTCATAATTGCACAATTTGTTAATTTGCTGTTGTGTGCTGACGCAAACTGTTTATTAAATGCTCTACTTATAAATCTGGTAAGTCTTGCTCTGCAAAAAAATATTACTATTTATTTATTACTTATTCACAATATTATTCACAAAAATTAATGTCTTGATATTATATTAATTAATCAATTAATATCAATTGATTGTCGAAATGTACATGTACTCTATATTGTTTACATTATCAAAAAATAATTTATTGATAATTTTAGCTTATACTGCTTCTCGGATTTTAAAAAGATTTTGAACAGCATAAATTTAATCTAGGCTTTAAAATATCTTTTTGCAACCTGCATTAAGGACAGTTAAAAGGAACGTATATTTTA